ATGAGTTATAAACACAAAGCCAATGCCCTGAACACTTAGCAGGGTTGGGAAAGCTGTTAATACCAAGTTTGTCTATGGCTGCTCTGGGAAGCTGGCCAGGCTCAGGTTAGTGACATTCCAGGAGCCTGAATTGGGAATCTTTATGCAATCACAAGCCTTCGTGACTTCTAGGGCAGTTTTGTCTGCATAAGGAATACAAGGAAGGCACAGAGCAAAGGGATTAGCTTGTGCGTTGAGCCTGAAACACTTGCTTCTTGGCCAGTGGCATTTTGTTAGTTACAGGGCAATGCCTTCAATGGGCATTCAGTAAGCAAGCAGGCTCAGAATCCTCAAAAGAGAAACTTTTCTCATTAATGATTATTTTCTTCAAAAATCAAAACCAAAACCAAGCCCCCAAAAGTCTTCGTACTCGGTACAAACAGGTTAAGCACAGGAGAGCAGAGCTAAGATTCCCCCCTTGGTGCTGGGTGGAACTTGCAGGTTTGCTCCTGGGATCCGGCCAGGACTTCTGAATTAGAAGTGAACAACGTCCAGGTTGGAAAGTCCTGTGCTGGTGAGAACTGTGAGGGATCTGGTTGCCCCTTAGTTGTTACACAAAGATAAGCTGCAGATTGTCCTCTCTTATTTCCCCCTGCTGGAGGCAGCAGAGACCTGGAGAAACCATAGCCCGCAGTGGATTTCTTTCATTCCTGCTGTGGGGACATTGGCCACATGAGGGGACAGCAGAGAGGTGACATAAAAGACAGTGGGGGCTGGGTACAGCGGCTCACGCCTGTAATCCCAGCACTTTGGGAGGCCAAGGTGGGTAGATCACGAGGTCAGGAGACTGAGACCATCCTGGCCAACATGGTGAAACCTTGTCTCTACTAAAAATACAAAAAAATTAGCTGGGCATGGTGGCACACCCTGTGGTCCCAGCTACTCGGGAGGCTGAGGCAGGAGAATTGCTTGAACCCAGGAGGTGGAGATTGCAGTGAGCCAAACTGTACTACAGCTGGGTGACAGTGAGAGACTCTGTCTCAAAAAAAAAAAAAAAAAAAAAAAAGACAGTGGGAATATACCCACCTGTGCTCCCGCTACAGCCCCTGGCCGGGTAGCGCCTGTTGCATTTCTGCTTCTAGAGTGAAGCTGGATTCCCCACATGTGCAACACGCGCTGGCCTGGTGAGCTCCTTTTCCAGCCTTTCCCACATCTGCCACTAAGGGTGCAAGGATTTCAATGGCAGCGGTTTTTAAAGTATGTTCACAAAGCAGGAATAGTTTGAGGATTCTTCTTGCTTTTATTTGTTTCTGACTTGTCCATTTAAGTGATTTGTTTGAGGCCTTAGGGGCAAAGGTTTGTGCTCCTTTTTGTGCCTGTTCCAGGACTTCATGTTGCTGCAGGACAATCAGCATCTATTTCTAGCCCACTGCTTCTCTGCCCTGGCTAGTCACTCAGCATTTACTCACCTTTAAGGCCTTAGTAAGCTTTCTTCCTAACAGCGTCAAGGTGATAAACAGTTCAAATGTCTTCTGGTTCATAGGTGCTGAATCTGACAAAAGCCTGCCTAGAAGCACCATACAGACTGATGGAGACTTGGTCCTTTTTGGGTAGAACAATGAGTAGAGAGAGTAGGTCCTTCAGATTCGTGGTACTTTCTGGTAAGAAGAGGTGGCATTGTGAATTCATCTGTAAAACGGGAGGTCCTGTCCTGCCTCCAAGGGTTGTTAAAAGGATTAAATGAGCATGTCTGTGGAAGTGCCAGCACATGCATACAAGAGGCGCCTGAGTGTTGCTGCTACGGTTGTTATTGTCATTGTTTCTGTTATTATTATGACTCTTGCTTGCTCGAGAGTCTCTCAGTCATCCTTTGCTTTTGCTTTAAGCAATCAATCCTCCAGGCCTAATGCAGAAGCCACCCCCTTTCCCAGTTTGTAAAACTATCAGTCCCAACTCCTTGTGCCTGGGAGAAATGGTCTTCTTACCCATCTACTTCAGGTTTCTCATTTCT